AAGTCTGAACCGTGTTGACCCCTTGTTTCAAGCAATCCTCACACCCACTTTGTGAGATAGTTTCAGTACACTGAGCATAGGCATAAATAGTTTCATCATCATCATTATTATTATCAGGGACTTGAGTTTTTGTTGCTGCAGAAAAACCAGTGACTTTGGGCGTTGTGGTTTGAAGATCCATCAGGAGTTGTTGTGCAGCTGAAGTAAATGCAGCGGCTGCTACTTCTACACTTTGATTCCCACACGATGCAGTATTGAAAATTCCTGTTGTCTGCTCAAGTATATTGGTACTCTCATGCCTAACAGTACCATAGAAACGAAAATTCTTATTTAGATTAAGTGAAATATTGTTATTTTGTTGGTCCTGTTACTTTAAGTAAATGCAATTGAGTGTAATGAAAAACTAAAAAAATTAAAAGAAAAAAGCTAATGAGTATTATATATGCTTCTGATGAGGTATTCATTTCTTTTTTTCTTTTAGTAGTGTCATTTTGAATCATTTTAAAAAAAGTAACTATACCCAGTGCAAAAGACAAAAAACAATTCTATCTCACAGTATCGTCAGGAACCATTAATTATTCTTGAATCTCTAGTCGATAATATCCATTTAGATGACGTCTCATAGTAATGTTGATCGTGGAACAATTAAAAAAAAAAAAGATCTTGATTGCACCATTTTTTTGTTACATTTTACGACAAAAGAAAGGCATACCCATTGTTGGACCAACAAATAATAATATAATATTGAAAATCATAAATTTTATTTAGAATAACATGTTTACTTTATAATTAATTATGATAAATCCTGTTCATCGCATAATAATATTCTATGAAAATAAATCTTACATCTTTTGCTAAAAAAATTTTAAAAAGAAACCAAGGGAAGTGGCCGTTACCTGAGGAAGCAGCCGTCAAAGATGACGAGAACAAAGTTAGTCGCGACGGAGCAGTTCAGGATCTGTGCGGTGGCATGGGTGAAGCAGGAGGCACAGTCGGCGGCGGAGAGGTAGCTTCTGCACTAAAAAAATACCATAAACGGGGAGGTTTCCGTCGGTCTGCTGCGCTGTGGCTAAGAACCTGCTTTGATTCACCGCCTGACACGAGAGAACACGAATCGTTGCGCTTACACTGTCATTGAAGGACTTTGTATCATACTCATCTCTGTTATATTGGAAGCAGGCTCGACTCAGAAGATTGGTCTGAGGGTCTGAAACGACGCCGTCAAGGGACCAACATGACCAGACTATGAAGGTAGCGATCAAGGGAAGGAGAGTAATAGGTTGAAGCATGGTTTAGTGGAGTTTTGGTTCGACAGGTCTGAGATATATGTGTGCGTGTGCGTGAATGAGTTGGGCTAGGCTTGCGGGAAGAGAGGAGAGAAGAAGACAGAAATGACAAAGGTCAAGTCAAGTGGCTCTAAAATTAGTGGCATATTGAATGATTGATCGGTCACTGACAAACAAGTGGAGTCAATAGAAAGAATTATAATAAGGTTCCAAAAAAAATAATTCAAAAAGAAGTTTCAGAAGTTATCATTTCCTCCTCTAAAACTTGTCATTACAAATGTTTAAGTTGTTATTGGGACTTTTTAACAATTATTTTTTTTTCTGGAGACTTTATTGTGATTTTCCTGGGTCAATATGATTTCATATGGAGAGAAAAAAGATGAATAAAATAATGATAAAAGGGAAGTGAAGGGTCCTAGATAATGATGAAGGGATACGAAGAAGGCAAGATGTTTAAATATCCTAGAAGTATTCATGAAGGAACGCTCAACATTTGAAAGTTTTTTTTTTCTCTTGTCTTGAAAATTTATTTCCGTAGCAAAAATATCCTAACTGTTAGCTGTAAACAAGTTTGACCATTAAATTATGTGGTTTGACTAGTATCTTTAACAGTTTGGACATTAACATTTTACATTAATCTTCTTACAAGATTCTTAATTATCATTCTTCCATTTTAAAAGGCTACTGAAAATTACATGGGAGACTTGTCATACTTTTCATTGGGAAAATTTCATTCTAAGATCACTATAGCTAATTAATATCAGCTAACCCCCAAAACATTTCAAAATTTTAGTTAATCCTCTTGGACCAAAATGAAATTAAAATTTAAGGATAAAACTACAACAATACCTCTCTTTTTTATTTTTTAAAAAATAAATATTAATTGTTGTCGGAGCTCTGGCCACTGGCGCTTAGGTGGCTGACCCTAGAGGTCGAAGCTCCGGTGGTCGGAGGATTATCTGAGCTGAAGGATTTTTTTTTAAAAATAAGGTGGCTAAGGGTGTTTGAACCCATCACCCCTTGGTACACTAAAAGTAATATGATCACCAAACCTACCAAGCCACTTAATCATATAATGCAAAGAAAAATATATACTACCTCCGGTCCTAATTATAAGACCCAGTTGACTTATTTGAGGAGATTAAGGAAGTAAGTTAAGTTAGTTATTTGTAATAAATAAGTGTTGTCATTCCTAAAATATCCTTACTAATTAAGTGTATTGGCTAGAACTATCATTATTAGAAGGATTATTTTGGAAAAAAAATGTATAAATATGAGAGACAAAATGGATTGGGGTCTTATAATTAGGACCAAACAAAAAGTCAAACGGGGTCTTATAATAAGGACCGGAGGTAGTATATAACAAAACAAATGCAAGTGTTCAAGTATAAAGGAACAAGTAAAGTTTGATAATTTACAAGTGAAATTTAGCAATTTAAAATTTTTTTGGCTATTTACAAGTAACATAATAGAATTTACAACCTTAAATGCAAGTGTTTAAGTATGAATGAGTAAATAAAATTTGAAGATTTATAACAAAAATGTTGTGATTTACAATCCAAATTTGACAATTCACAAGAAGCATAAGAAAATTCACAACTCTAAATGTAAGTGTTTAAATGTGAATAAATTAGTGAAATTCAACAATTTATAACAAAAATTCAGGGATTTACAACTCAAATTCAGCGATTCACAAGAAACATAAACATTACAAAACTTATATGAGAATTAACGACCTCAAATGCAAGTGTTCATGTTTATTGTAAATCACTAAATTTCAGTAGTAAATTGTTGAATGTTTGTTGTAAATTGTTAAATTTTACTTATTCATCTACACCTAAACTCTTGCATTTGGGATTGTAAATTTCTTTATGTTTCTTGTGAATCCAAATTTGGGCTGTAAATCATTGAATTTTTGTTGTAAATCTTTGAATTTAATTTATTTATTCACACCTAAACACTTGTATTTGGAGTTGTGAATTTCATCATGCATATGTTACTTGTAAATTGCTGGATTTTTATTGTAAATTGATGAATGTTTGTTATAAATTGTTAAATTTTGTTTGTTCATTTATACATAAACTCTTGTAGTTAGGGTTGTGAATTTTTTTATGTTTCTTATGAATCACTAAATTTTTGTTATAAACAACTGAATTTTTGTTATACATCTTTGAATTTTACTTGCTCAGTCACATTTAAACACATGTATTTAGGGTTGCGAATGCTCTTATTTACTTGCAAATCACCAAATGTTTGTTGTAAATTGCTGGATTTCACTTGTAAATAGTCGAATTTCACTTGTTTATTTATACTTGGATGCTTGCATTTGTTTAGTGTTATATATATATATATATATATTTCTTTGAATTATATAACTAAATAGTTTGGTTAGCTTGATGATCACATTACTTTTGATGTACCAAGGGGTTATGAGTTCAAACCCCGCCTTGGCCACACAAAAAAAGTCCTTCGGCACCAACTACCTAAGCTTAGGTGGTTGGAGCTCTGACAACAATTAATATTTATTTTTTAAAAAAATAAAAAATTGGTGTATTATTGTATTTTTGCCCTTTAATTTTTATTTCATTTTGTCCATAGGGGTTAACTGAAATTTTAAAATATTTTGGGGGTTGACTGATATTAATTAGCTATAGTGGTCCTAAAATGAAGTTTTTCCCTTGGTAATTCAACATAACTCTGAAGTGCAAAATCAAGTCTCTTGCAGCTAGAAGTAGGGGTGATCATTAGGCTCAAAAGCCCATAATGCCTGCTTGAGCCTTGGTGAAATTATACCCAGCCTGGCCTTGAAAAAGTAGTCCAAACAATAAATGTGCATTTTCAGGTAGAGCCAAATGTTGGGCATGATATGCTACCCTACCCAGGGTTTATATACATAATTGTATTTAATGTATATAATATACATATATTCATTGTATATAATTATATTTAATATATACACACATGCAACATTCATATGTGGTAGAATTATATATTTTAAGATTTAAATTGTTAATATATTTAATTATGGATGTTGTTTGAAAACCTATACTATTGCGTTTGATTATATAATTACAAAGAGATATAGAATGATAAATAGATATATGAATTTGTAGTGTGTTTTTTATATTTCTTTTCTTGAAATAGTCTAAATTATGAAATTATAAAATACATTTAAAAAATCAAAATATTCTTTATTAGGTTTAGTGGAAACCTTCACATAATATAAATAACGCATAAGGGTATCATCACTTAGGGTGGGCAAGAAAGCCCACCCTGCCTAGCCCTGCCCCAAATAACTTGGGTTTTCATCGGGCAGCACTGGGCAATGGGCTCCAAAATACAACTCATCGATCATTCGAGTTGGGCATCAAACAAGGGTAATGCCCTGCCCAGCCCTGTCCATGTACAGCCGTAGCTAGAAGTTATTAATTGTGCAGAAATTCTTAAAATAAAGTTATAGTTGCAAGATAAACGATTATATAAAAGTAAAAATAAAATTTAATTAAGAAATAATGTAACATCAGATTTATTACAGTAAAGTTTCATGAATCTACATCATCTCATAAACATCTACACAATTAAAGCCAAATAAAATACAATCTACCCGAAGTTCATCCCCAATTCATCATTTATACTTTGTACTCGTAAGATCGACGTGTAATTAACACATATATTGAAGAATGGAATAAAGGAAGAATCACTTTCCATTTTTTCTTTCTTCTCTGATTAGGAATCCAAGTCACACTAAGCTGTACGATTCAAAGATGATGGACCTCTAATTAATGAGCTTCAATCAAGAGAGGCATGGTGGGTTTTCTGTTTTCTGACAAGTCCTTGTTTTGGAGCAAAACAACTACTTCAGACATCGTTGGCCTTATGTCAGCATATGCTTGAGTGCAAAGCAAACCAATCTCGATCACTTTCTTCACTTCTTCTTCATCATAGTCATTAGGGTCTAAAGTTTTGTCTACCAACTCTAAGTGCATGTTTTTCTCATATAGTTTCCAAGCCTGTCAAGTGGGATTAAAGTGAAATGGAATATAAAAGGGGCGAACAAAGGAAAAACATAAGTTAACATATATTGGATATTTTTATTAAATGTTTTATTTGATTCACTACTTTTTATACGAGAATTAACCATGTGAATACTGGGTTGCTAAATAAGGCCTCCATTTGTTTTTGAAAAATAAAAATAAGTCTTAAAATAATCATGGGAATTTTCTTACTTTTTGAAGCAGGAATTCGCCTTCATCATGGCCATGGACCTTCAATTCTTCACTTCTCTTACCACTGATGATTTCCAAGATTACAACGCCATAGCTGAAAACATCGGCCTTTTCTGATAATTGGCCATGAATAGCATATTCAGGTGCTGTATATCCCCTAACATATATAGCATGTAATGGATTATATTAGTAATGTCTATGAAAAAATTAAATTTTGGGTCCCATTAAGATCTGGAATGAAGACACTTGACGAGTAATGTATTGCCTTATGATTGATTTGAAGTATTCATGTCTTATAATAACAAAAAAGGGGAATTTGTTAAAACTTTGTGTAGAGATAACAAGGATTTCCATTGACACAAACACATATCGTATCAAGCTTAGTTTAGTTGCATAAATAAGTACAATAAAAGTAGTGAAAAATTCAAAAGAAATGTGACTGTTTCAACTCACAATGTTCCAGCTAATCTTGTGCTAACATGAGATTTGTTCTCAGGTAAAAGTCTTGCTAATCCAAAATCTGCAATTCTAGGTTGAAAATCATCATCCAAGAGAATATTGTTGGTCTTTATATCTCTATGTATTATTCGAACATGAAACTCTTCATGTAGATAAGTCAAACCCCTTGCTGTTCCTACAATAATGTCATATCTCTGCTTCCATGTGAGAAAGCCTCTCCTTTTACCTGTTTCTCAAATCTCCACATTTCAAGGGTGGGAAAAAGATATGGGTAAAACAAAAAAAAAAAACGATATTCTCAAAATGTTAGAATATGTTACTGATCTCTAAGTCTATCAAGCTCAACAAAATCATGAACTATAAGTTCTTAATATTACTGGATCACGGTGAAAATATGTCCATATACTATAATATTCGTAACAAGCAAAATAGCTTATTATTTTTAAAGGACCGCATAAAAGTTTTATGAACTGAAATAACATACCAAATAAGAATCTATCAAGGCTAGTATTTTTCATATATTCATAAACAAGAATTCTCTCATCGCCTTTGCTACAACATCCCAGAAGTCGAGTAAGATTTCGATGATGAACATTACTTATCAGCTTCACTTCGCTCTCAAATTCTTCCTCCATTCTATTGGACTTGCGTACAGTTAATTTCTTGACCGCCACTACTTTTCCATTCTTCAAAGTACCCTATTCACGATAATTAAAAAATTCAATGATGAGAAAATTATTAGTCCTACTTTGTCCTTTGTAAAATGTTAGCTTAGAACTCAATTGAAAACATTTTTGGTTTAGAGCTTGACCCATGTGAAAATAATTAAAATCAAATCTAACTTACCTTGTATACAGCACCAAATCCTCCTTCTCCTAGTTTATTTTCATCACTAAAATTTTTTGTGGCCAGCTTCAAGTCCCTATAATTGTAAGCTTCTGGTGCTTTCAACTTGCTTGCTCCAGGTATATCATCTGTTAAGGACAATTTTAGCCAACGTTTCTTCGTAAATTAATAAAACCAGCCAAGGACTTCTCCCTTCAAAATTAAAACACTAAAGTCCATAATTCATTCAGCGAAAACCAAAGCATCACATCGTAACATTACAACTAAATATATGGTATAGTGAATGACTTCTCAAATCATTTACCTCTAGGAACACTCTGTGGCTTTTTTGGTCGTTTGATCCAAACAAATAATCCAAGTAGGACCAAAACAACGGCCGCAGCTCCAACTACACCGCCAATAATAGCCCCCTTATTATTGCTACTACCTGCGCACAAGACAGATATCTCATTTGCCAATAAATAAGTCACTCACTATAAACACCACACACACACACCTACTTCCTCCGATTCGCAACAACTAACCAAACCACACGGATCAAAATGTTGGTCAACATTAGTTACAAATAATGAATATATAAGATATGTAATTTTCTTTTTAAATATGCCCTTATTTATGAAGATGATAAGTGAGAGATCAGAGGTGATGAGTAGGAAAAGAAATGAGAAAGAATGAATAGGGAGGGGAAAAAAAGATGAGTGTCACATGTAATTATTTGGAGATAAAAATGGAAAAAATACATCAAAGTTTTAGGCAAACACAAAGTATTGCTTATACTCTCTTTAGTCCATAATATAATATCTTGATTAAAATAAAATACTGGTCCAAAACATAAGATGATGTCAGGATAATTAATGTGATTTTTTCATTTTCGCCCCTGTTAAATATAGAAGAGAGAGGAGAGAGATGGGGATAAAAAAAGTATAACACTAAGGCAACTTTATTATTGTTAGGGGTAACATAGGAAAACTAATATTTGAGGATATATTTAATAACTAAACTTCAATTGCTTAGCGTGTAAGAAAAGTTAACTAACTTTTTATATTATGAACCGAAGGGAGTATATAGGACCAGCCCCATGTGAGAGAATGTTGCTTATATACAGACCAGAGAGAGTATTTCACATCTAAAATACCCACGTATACTTAAATCTGGGAATGAATATTACCTTGTTTGGCCAACGGTATGGTATTAATAGTCTGGTTATCAGGAAAGAAGGAAGAGGTGGAGTATCTGATGAAGCAGCCAGCAGCATAAGCCCTGCCATCTGAATTGGGAAGACAAGTCTGCATATTGTTGTCCCCAGCGTTTAAGCAATCGAGGCAAGCACTTTGTGTGATAGTTTCTATACACTGAGCGAAGGCATAAATAGTTGGACCATTATTAGGCACTTGCGTCTTGGAAGCTGCATAAAAGCCAGACACGGTTGGTGTTGTCGTTCTCAGATTCGTTAGCAATTTTTGTGCTGCTGATGTAAATTCTGTGGCTTCTCCTGATGCACTACGATTCCCACACGACACAGCATTAAATGACGTTGTCTCGCTGAAGAAAGTGCTCACCTCGTACCTAATTAAACAAGCCACAACATATACCATGTCATTTTCCCAAGCTCAATATGTATAGTAGGGGTATTATAGTACTGGGTATGATGTACAAACTGACAGTATATTTGTGTTACTAAGAGAACAGATTTAAGTCAATTGTGCACAGTTCACTCACTATCAATAATGATCTTATTTACTATTGTCAAGGCATCGATTGACGATGTATTTGAGTGGCCAGGACTTGGAAACCATGCATTGGGGTATCAAGATATGAGGGAATAATTCTGCAAAGGACAATAAGAAATAGAATCGGGAGAATGTTTGAAAGTGAATCTAGCAACTTCATATGAGAAGCAGCAGTGGAGGACTTTGCCAATATTGTAAACTACTAAATAAGTTAAAAGAGAGTACTTTAGATTCTGTGAAGTATGAGAGGGAATAAAGATAGAGAAGTTAATTAGCCCTCATATATATGTAGACGCAGTGATTTTAAATGTGATTAATATAGTACTTCTTTGTAAAAACACAAAACAACTTAATTTTCAAAAAATAATAACGAAGTATTTTATCAGTACTATCAGATTAGATATATTAATTAGCCATGGTTTTGACAAAAACAAAAATGAAAAGATATTAAATTTCCCCGGTTCTCTGCTCTATTAATTAATCGAATGTCAAACCCTGCAAACTAATGTGATAAAATTGGCCTTCCTTTCGTGATTTTCACAAGGCACGAGAAAATTTATTCTTTTTATAGGGCATTATATAGGATATTTGTTATACCCTTTTCATAGTATTTTTAATATTTTTTCATTTTTTTCAAAATTACAACATACATGAGTTTAAATAAGAGACTTATAAAAATGAAAATAAAATTTAAACCTTTGTTTAATCTGGACGATATTTCTTAAAAATATCTTCTGAAAAGGATGACACAGTATAATTCAAAGTAGAATAAAGTCAATGGGAAACCCCACGCACAAGCTAATAAATGTGGGAATATAAATATATTATCTCTAAGATCCACCAATCCTAAAAGAAAACGACAAGGACAAGGGAAAATAAAAATTAGATGATACTTCAATTTTGGAAACTCTAGTCTCAATAGGAAAAATTCTATTTTAGTTATACAATAGGAATTTTGAATTTGCTGAAATGATCATATTACTCTTATGCTATTTGTTCTTATTCTAGGAAAATATTTTGAAAACAAGTTGTTCATTGCGTTACCAATTTTGTTAATATTGTTACGTAACTTGTTAATTATGTCTTAAAACTTATTCCCTCCGTTTCTTATTATAAGAGACATTTGATACTTATGGCATGTTGCCATATATAAAAGACACTTAAAAGTTGTTTCTATTTTTTTGTATTGATTTCCTATTTACTCCTATTTTTTTGTCTCCAACTCATACTCTCTCTCCCTCCCACTTCTATTTCTTTTAATAATTTAATTGTTTTCTCTCATACTCTCTCTCCTTATTAATGGGGGCATTGTTGGAAAAAAACATTATACCTTTTACATATTAATTGTGCTCAACTAATTTTAACTATTTTTTGGATCAACGTAATTTGGTTATTTGTCTCTTATAATAAGGAACAGAGGGAGTACTAAATAATTTAAAAATATATTTTTATTTTTAAATATGTCTTTATAATAAATGAGAAAAAAATGAAAGAAAATATATAAAACCATAGCGTGCTTGTAGAGATAATAAATAATTAAAAGTCAAATTAAAAGTTCTAAAACTGACCATGTTCTTCTTTAGATTTGAAGCATATAAATTGTATGGAAGAGTGATCCACAAAAGAGGAGCCGAGCGACTAAGTGTGAATACTTAGATAATTATTTCCCCAGGCCTCTACTCTTTATAAATTAGTCAAATGTTGGCCACACTGATTATTATCATACAGTTGGCAATAAGGAACTTATCTACGCTGTATTATTATTATTCAAAAAATATGAGAATAAGTCAAACTTGAATGGCTTGGTAGAGTGGTACCTGAGAAAGCAGCCATCGTAGACGACCCGAGAACCATGGGTCCCGGCGGAGCAATTGCGTATTGCGACGGCGGCGACATCGAAGCAGGCAAGACAGTCGGCGATGGAGAGATAATCTCTGCACTGAAAAAGAGAGGAAGCGGGGTTGTTCTGATCACCTCGCTGCGACGTGGCAAAGTGCTTGCTTTGGTCTTTGACCTGATCTCTCAGATCTCGAAACGTTGCGTTTAGGTTCTCACTGAAGATGGTGAAGTTGGAGACCACGAACTCGTAGAAAGGGCTGCACGCAGTGTACAGAAGATTGGTCTGTGGCTCTGAAACGACGACGTTTAGAGTCCAGCATGACCAGAACAGGAGGAGGAGGAAGAAGAAGGGATGAAGAAGACGAGCAGGTCGAAGCATTTATGTTCTGTTAACGAATGAAGATGAAGAAGATGATGAAATGGCCTGTCTGGCGATTAATGATGTGAGTAAAGCGAGTGTTAATTAATAACGGCTTTTGAAGTTGACGGCAATGAAAATGAGGTGTCGTGCCGTTATACTCCTCTGGTTCTATTTATAAGGCACTTCCAACATGTTTCACACAAACCAAGGAAAACTTTAAACTTCATTAACTCTCATTTAAAATTTAATGACTTTCCAACTTTATCCCTATTTAATATATATTATACCTCATATAAACAAAGTCAACACAATAATAAATGAAAGGTAAAATTGTACATCCATGTAAAAAATTTCTCTCAGTGCCTTATAAATAGGACCAAAAAATACTTTTTCTCTCTGCCCTATAAATAGGACCAGAGGAGTATGTGGTTGAAAATCGTTTGGATATATAATAAAATACTCCCCCATTAGCTAATACCACGCTGTTTCTGTATACAAGTCACTTGTATCAATTCTAATCTACTAGTACTGTATATAAATCACTTTCCAATATGTTTTACACAGACCAAGAAAAATCTTAAACTTCATTAACTCTTATTTAAAATTCAACAACTTTTTAATTTTATCCTTATTTAATATATATTATATCTCATGTAAACAAAATCAACACAATAATAAATGAATGATGAAATTGTATATCCATATAAAAAATTTCTCTCATGACTAAAAAATCTTTTTTCTCTCTACCTTATAAATAGGACAAGAGGAGTAGAATATATTGATAAATTGGTAAAAGTGTTCATATTTATCCCTATTAAATAAAGAGTACTATTAAAGAAAAGATATGTTGTATATTTTTTTCTCACTTATTTTCATCAATTACACATATATATCTTTCATATATTTTTCACGCTCATAACTATCTGATCTCGCTTTCCACTCTCCTAGTCATGCTTTTTATAAATAAAGATATATATTTACGAAAAATGCAATTTTTACATATAAAAATTTTAACAAACTTTTTTAATCTAAGTTATTTTTAATTATATGTTGGACATAAGGGAGTCCTATATTTCAACAGGCATTTGTGATTTGACCAAGACTTTCAATGTTTGAGGCGCCGTGATGAGTATGGAGAGTAATATAGTATATTAATAGTTTTTTTCCTATTCAAATACTTATATGCATATTTCCTATTAAAATATATGTCTTCTTCAATAGTTAAGCGTAAATTACATATTTTTGCGTTATGCATAATATTTATGCCATGATTGATCTAACAAGGAGGATAGATAGAATCTAAATGGAATGTGCCTTTCAAATTTCTCACTAAAATATGATGCTTATATAAATATATAAATATGTATGTATAAACGATAACTAGACCCTTGCCATCCGCAAATCCACAAACACAACATTATGACTTTATTAAATTAAATTAAATAGTTCCTTTTTATGCATATTATAGATTTTTTATTGTAATTTTCAAAAGAATATAGATAGAATTACCTCCTTAAATATGATGTGATGCAATTTTACCCTGACTATGATAAGATAAAAACTGATCAATCTCATACCAACTCTACATCCTTTTTATGCAATGCAGTTTGGAGTTTTTGCATTTCCAACATCCACACCACACCTTCGATGATTTTGTTTGATCATCCACCACGGCCAGCGTGAGAGGGCCTTATAGGAAGGCTTTGGTTTGGCTGCTTCCTGAGAATAGCATAATGTGCTGGAACTCGCCGAGCGCAAGCGAGTACATCGACGATTGTCTTCTGAGTGATGAGAAAGTATGGGTGGCTGTTCTTGTAATGTGATTCTATCATGAGTCCCACATCGGGTTTGTTGTCTTGAAAGAGGCATCACATAAGGTTTGAGTTTCCCTGTTGTGATTCTTCCAAAAATTTATGCTCCCTTGTTACTCTTTTCATAAGAGTTAGTTTGACTTTTAATTTGATCTTAAATATAATACCTCAATCTACTTTGACTACATTCAACAATTTTTATTAATGCGTCTAAATTAGTTAGCAGTTTCTTAGCCAAAAAGGTTTTCCATGAGATGAGAAATGAAAATTATTAGCCCCACACAAGGTTTGTGAATAAGTGATTCTCCGGCAATGAGCAAGAAATATCTGTCTTTCTGCTAAATAGTGTGTATTGAACTTATAATTCATTAGATACTTTTTATGAATGTCAACTAAGTACCATAAGTAAATTCCTCCTGGTTGTTCAATTATTTAATAACCAGAGTCATTCTTTGATAAATGATTAGTATGAGTCTGACTTAATAGAATTTGATCAATCCTTTATTCTATATCGTTAAGGCAGAGAATTGAACCAAGAATTCTCTTCCTTTATCATCAATCGAATCACTATTCAAGACCTAAGATTCTAGTTTATCATCAATCCAATAACCATTCACGTTTTTTCTTTTTCTTATCAAGGAATAAATCGCTTTACCTATATAACTTAGGTATCGTATTTTTCAAAAAAGCGATTGATTGATGGGATTTGGTATGATACTTATGAGATGATGAGATTCAAATATTTCTTCTCAGAATGCATTGATTTGACCCCATCAGTGGGACCACCACCCCATAGTGTAAATCCCTTAACCTCAAAAACATTATAAACTCGTTGTAAAATTTACTACTATAGTAGAAAAGGAAAGCTGTTACAACAAACTACCATAGCAAAAATAGATTGCGCAATTTTAGAAAATTAACATTTAAACTTGGTTCCATCCCAAACCCAGTTGCATGCAACTAAAATCATTCAATAATATCCACTAGGCCTCCGAGCCTCCAGCCTGGGTAACAAAAGGCATCAACATCAGCCCATATAATTGTTTTTCCCAACAAAGTAGATCAAAGTTTCATAACATTAGCAATGACCTCCGGCCAACCAAAATAAGGGGATAACATTCCCTCTAGTTTACAATAAGATCAACAATCAAAATAGTTCAAAAGAACCCTAAATGTGGCAATATATATACTAGCCATACATATACAAAGGCTAGAGGTCTAAAGCTAACCAAGCTCAAGCCTCTGCGTCTCTTCCTAAAGGCGCACGCCTAGAACCCTCACCTGAAAACATGGTAAACCACGGGGTGAGACAAACGTCCTAGTAACCAATCTTTCCAATTCAAGGTACAAGCTAAATAGGTGCTTGTGAGGTGTCGAGTAGGGCATTTCACAAGTAATATTATAAATGATAGCCACAACAATTCATGCAAGTGCAATGATGCAATTTCCATCAACCATATCCCTCACTTGGGGGGATTTTCAAGAGCCGAACCCGGCTTATCCCTCACTATAGGGGACGTAAGGAGCCAAAAGGCCTATCCCTCACTCTGGGGGATGTACTGTGTAATATCCCAAATTTTATGGATTTGAGTAAAGCATGATGAAGGAGAAATTTTTAGAGAAATTGTTGAGATTAAGACCCTTAAAATATGGTCTGAATAATTATAAAGTTAATTTCAAGAATTTAGGACCTATTTTCTTGGAATATTCAAGAAAAATAGTTAGAGGCTAATTTTTGAGCTGAGATTTTTAGGAAAATTATTTTATACACTAAAGAAGCTAATGGAAGAAGAAAATTCATATAAAATATCCAGGTTTGATTTCTGGAATTATTTGACTATCCTTAGAAAAAAAAAATAGAGAAGGATCAAATTAAAAGAAAATAAAGACCAAAGGGCATGATGGTCATTTCACATCCTTTGTCCCTTTTTATCTGCCAAAAACGCCTCCTCCCTTCTCATTCTCCTCTGCTGCCGACTTGAATGAAAAGGAGAAGGAACAGAGAGAGCTTGAAAGGGCGAGAGGAAGACGAATCATCACGAACTGCCGGAGAAAGAATCAGAGGTGTTTTCTTGCATGCAAGTGTGCTTTTCTGATTAAGGTGAGTCCTTCAGGCCTTCCTTTGTCCTTGTTTTCTTTGATTGGGACTATATGAGAGTGGAAGAAACAAATGAAAATCCAGCCCTAGGGAGAGAAATTCAGGAATCGCATGAAAGCTTTGGTCGAAGCATCAATTGGGAGTTGTGTGAGAGGGTGCCTGCACTTGTATGCTGCTGTTTGTGTTTATTTTTTTTATTCTCTGGTACCTGATTGTCGAAATAGGGGATAGGTGATTCAGGGGGTTAGTTTCGGACTCCCTTTTCTTTGGTTATAAGGTTGAATATTGGTGGTATTGGAGAGAGATTTCGTGACCCACATGTATATGAAAGTGCGTTGGAGTTGGTTTTATTTTAATGACATGTTCGAAGACGTCTTTGGACCCAATACCTCTATTGTTTTATGCTGATACATGGGCTCCATACGTGAAAGGCAAATGAAAAGGAAATCGTATGATCATAAAGATTAAATAATGCTACATGATATTTTGGAGTGAAGGCCGTGAGGTTTAATGGGAAAAGAAAAAGGAGTTCTTATTGTTTTGTTTTGGTTAAATGGTCTTAACCGCTGGATAGGAAAAGGGCAAAATGAGTTTGAATATTTGAATGCTACACGGATTGGAAGTGATTATTCTTTAAATCTGGAATTTAACAAGAGGAGGAATTGTTGAATTTGAGAGCCAAAATCTGATTCGAAGTTTATTGGGTTGTCTTCTCAAATGCTGAATATTATTCTAGTTAGTGGACCAACCTTATTGTGATCAATGATTAAATTTTACTACAGTAAAATGAGCATTTTAGAGGAGCAAAAGACATCCATATATTATGAAATGGAGGAATGATGTTAATATTGGGATGTTGCAGCTGAAATTAAATCACTTGGCAATGATTTGATTATGTATAAATGGGAAGTATTTTCGGTCAAGTGGATTGAAGAGGAAATGAAATCTTAAACTAGGGGACATTATAGTAGGAGATAGAATGATATTGATAAAGCTGGAATTTTATAAAAGTATGAAATAAATACTATTGCTATTATAAATTTTAAGGACCTTGAATATTCAAGGGTGTTGATTTATTTTTGAAGCCTAGGAATAAATGATCTATATATATATAAATATTAATTTGCCCTTACCTATATAATTTATAGGATTTGATATTTGTTCAAGTCCATTAAGAAGGGAGTCAAGGAAGAAGCAAGGGGAAGTTAGTACAGAAGAAAAAGCAAAAGGTAGTAACTCTTTTCCTTTAATGTGATTGTATATGGATTGCCACATGCTTGGATGTGCCTTTATGCTGATTGTGCATGAGAACATATAAGTTGCCTTTGCATAATAATATTTGTCATGACAATATGCGCTGGTTTCCATTTATTTTGGAATGTGGGCACGATAGATAGCGATTAACTATATGGGTGTATGGTGTATATGCATCATTGATTATACTTAGATGCAAGGTGTTGTTCTCTTTGGCCTGTGTAGCATGTTGTTTGTGATCTTGTATGATTACGTGAGGGAAATTTGTTACTACTGGGATTCTTTAGAATCTCACCCCTTCTTCCATGTAATACAGTAAGAGCAAGTACTCCTAAGGGCAAGGGAGTAGTGATCGGTGGAGTTTAAAGGTGCAAGAAGCTGGCGATCATTTGTACATCCATATTTTGCTTAAAATGCATCTTATTTTGGAGTAAAGATATATATATTGTATATCTATTTTGGTATGTAAATATTCCTCCATAAGGAGATGACTAAGGGCAGATAGATCATAATGACTGCTATTGAAGGAAATGGTCAAATTTTTGATATAATTATTATTTTTCCTAAAATTATGTGTATCTAATTACGTATCTCGTCGTGTGAGCCAATGGCCAAGGTGTCAAATGTTAAACCCTATTGGCTATAGTTGACTTAATTCAGGATTCGAAGGGCAGGATGGAAATAAAAATATATATATAATTTCCAGGATGAAACCTGGCTTTTAATGGATCATGATTAAATAGAATAATTCTACTAGTATATAAGGGATAGGTGTTACATACTGAGCCAACCATCATGCATTAATGGAGGCCTTACCACGTGGCAGTAACTATCAAAAACTCTCACCAATTCCCAATTCATGCATCATGCTCAAACCATAATCAAATAGTAATTGAACATTTCATAAGTAACTTCTTTCAGTGGCATATCTTTCACAATTCCAATATTCATTCATCATCAATCGAAACCCCACAAGACTGTTTTCCTTTTTATATATAACATACACTTTGAACATAATTGTTACTCTGAGCACAAAACATAAATCAACTCACAATACCACAGAAGCATGTACTAAGGATTCGAAAATGGTTACCTCTTGCCTGAGTAAGGAATAACAACCAACGATATGGTCCGTGCACCAACAAGGCTCACAATTGGTCTACACAAGCACACAAACACACAACCACAATATATTAGCTTTCAAACTAATAATGTGGCCAAAACAACATTTGGGGACACAAAATTCCTATCTCCAATCAAACTCTACCCAACTCAAAGGGTATAACCATCAAAACAACACTCCAAAGTCATAAAAATCCATTGAAACCTTAATTCCTCTCCAAATATCAATTTAGGATTCAAACCTCAAGGACCCACTATAAGAATTCAACACCCAATCACCCCATTTGAACAATTGAAGTCTTAACAACATTCTAAACCGATTAAACATCCAATTTAACCCTCCTTATCATAACCCAAATCACAAAACTCAAAATCAATCTCCACATTGTCATCCTCAATCACAAACCTCCCAATCTCATAAACCCTAACTTCAAAACTCCAAGTTCTTTAAATCCAAGAAAACTACACCGATTAAATACTTAGACTAACCCAAAGCAATCAATTAAACTCAAAACAATCGGTCAAAAACCTCAATTTCATCACAACCTAGAAAACTCTAGGGTTTCACCATAGATCTTCAGAAATTCCAAGAAAGAAAGTAGATTAGAGGTTAAAATCACTTACTTGAGGTAATGGATTCTTAGAAATGCCCCCTCCAAGCCAAAATATCAAAACCCTAGCAGAGCCTCTCTTTCTACCTTAGATTTTTCTAATTTTCGCAACACTGAACCCCTCCCACAACTATATAGATTTGGACTCCTTCGCCGCGGCGAACTAATCCCGAGAGGGATTACTCACCTAAAAACCCGACTTCGCCGCGGCGAACTCCAATCTTCACTGCGGCGAAAGCTTCCCGAGAGGAAACTCTCGCTTGCCCAGAAAATCTTCGCCGCGGCATACCCCTACCTTCGTTGCGGCGAAACCTTCCCGAGAGGGAAACCTTGCTCACTTGAACAACTTCGCCGCGGCGTCCCTATGACTTCGCCGCGACCAAACCTGCCCGAAAGACAATCCCCCCTGGAACTCCCGGTTCACCGCGGCGAAGTAAAACTTCGTCGCGGCGAACATACCCTGAGAGGGATATGTTCACCTATTCCTCCAACATACCTCAAATCCAACCCAAACACCAAGATCAACATTAAATTGCTAATCTATCCTCAAAATCAACCAAAAGAGGTTATTAAAACCCGATAAAACTCAGGATGTTACACATAGCATGTTGTCCTAGAACCAGAACCCCTGTTTTTTTTTAGAGAATCTCCTAATTGTTTTAGCGCAACAAGAAAGAGATTCTTTAACCAGAAAGAAGTCAGTTCAGATATAGGATACCTATCTAGAAGTTTTTGCAACTCAATCATGTATGATGGAATCATCCAGTTTTCATTTAACTATTTTATTGGTGCGTGTAAATTAGTTACCACTTTCTTTGTAATAAATACGAGAGGGAGTACATAAAAGAGAAGGGAGGATGTAAATCTGGCCTATTTTATACACTACAAAAAAAAACACCATTTATCTCTCTTACTTTCGTCTATTTTTTGAAGAGAAAAGTCACTATTCTCATCTCTTTTTTTTTTTAAAAAAAATAAACAAGAAAATAAAAGGCATTCTTGTCTGTTTATACAATATTTATTAGCACTTGTGGGAACCACATCTTCTCTTAGAAGTATCAAAAGCTTCAAAATATGGTTTCACTTAGACTAGTATAGGTTTATTGTGGTTTTACTTGTATTGCCTCTAATTTTAAATATAAGAGTTAGTTGACTAGTTTTAATAAATTAAAAAAATTAGTTAACTTAGTTATTTATAATAAATATGTGTCTTTTTCCTTAAAATATCTTTGCTAATTATGTTTATTAGCTAGAGTTATCATTTGATAAAATATTTAATTAACATGTGTAACTATTACAAGAACTATCTTGAGAAAAAATAGATATGAGAGATAAAGTGAATTAAGATCTTATATTTAAGACCAAAATGAATATCCAACTAGTTTTTATATTGAGGGCTGAAAATAGTATTAGATACTTTTATGTTATTTTAGTATGATTTGACATTATTATTGTCTTTTGAGTACTTACATAACACTTATTTTAATATACTCCTATTGTGTGTACGTTGTGATTTGGATTTATGTTTTTATTTATAATTCTCCTTGAGGAGGTATTTAGGTAATGATAATAAGTATGAAGCATTTTTTGGATTTTCTTATATGTATATATATCTTTATATATATAAGTGATTTAGGATTCTTAAATTAGTTCCAGTCCAACAAAAAATGTTACTCTTCTGGTCCTATTTATAGGGCAGAGAGAGAAGGTATTTTTTGGTCCTATTTATAAGGCACTGAGAGAAATTTTTTGCATGGATGTACAATTTTACCCTTCATTTATTATTGTGTTGACTTTGTTTATATGAGGTATAATGTATATTAAATAGGGATAAAGTTGGAAAGTCATTAAATTTTAAATGAAAGTTAATGAAATTTAAAGTTTTCCTTGATTTGTGTGAAACATGTTGGAAGTGCTTTATAAATAGGACCAGAGGAGTAATTTTCAAAAAGGGACTCAAAACAGAGGTAAAAGCTCATTCAGAATAAAGATAAAAAATGTTTACTATAATAGTGATAGATTCTGTTTCATAGGTAAGGCTCCCAAAATGTTCACTAATAAATGTGCATGGGGAATTGGGGTTATTTCTGTTTTCAAATTATAAAATTGTAAATTCCCAACAGTTTTATCTCTTTTTTAGCTGTTGAACATCGGAACATGTATCCATACATCAAGTTGACCAACGGGTCTTCAATGTACTTCCATTAGCAGACAAGGCCACACATCTTAACAGGGGAAAAAGAAAAGTCAATGCTTAGCCAAGACACTGAGATCTAATTTTCGTTGTGCGTGAAAAGTCGATCGATCAGTCAAAAATTATACTAGTTTAGAATCATTGACAAGATTATTTTTTAATTTTACTAATAAATTACTTTTTTGGCCTAAATGTTAATTTAATTACAATTATTTTAATTGTGATCAAATCAATCAACTTTGACTCGATGCTTTTATCACTAAAATTAAAAATATTGTAATTTAATTAGTTTATAATATTGCTTTTTTTACCAGAAATATTGCTTGATACTTCCTCCAATGACCAATCCCATACACACACACACACTCTCACTTAACAATTCATTTTTAACATGTTTCACTTGACGTTAGGAGAAAATTTCAACCTAATTAATTCTTCTTTAAATCTAAATAACTTTTCAATTTTATTCCCATTTGATGTATGTACTTTTCAAGAAAATAACAATCTACAAAACAACAATGATAAATTAAAGATAAAGTAATACATTCGTGTAAAAAAATTTAATGACGTGACATTAGAAAAAAAAATTCTCCTCTTTTTGCTTTATAATAGACTTAAGAGGACTAAGGAGTACATATAGAAGCAACAACTAACCATATTACACGGATCAAAATATTGGTCAAAATTAGATAAAAAATTTTTGCCAACAAAATTAGCCAAAAACAATAAATATGTGAAATTTTTTTTTTCCTAAGTATGTCATTATTTATGAAGATGATGAGTGAGAGAGAGTATGAATTGGAAAAGAGATGAGAGAAAATGCGTGGAAAAAAAGAAGAAGAAAGGAACACGCAATTGATTGAGGTAAAAAATAGGAAAAGTGCATTACATTTTTGACAAACATGAAATGTTGCTTACATATAGAATCAACCTTATGCGAAAAAATACTATATATAGGACCGAAGAGAGTATAAGATAAAGCAAGGGAGCAATACGACAGAGCTACTTCTCCCCAATTACTCTCTCTCGTTCTTACTATAAGTTGTAATTAATTTACTACCCTATGTAAGTGGTCAAGATAATTAATTGAATTTAGTTTTTATTTCTGGTTAAATTTCGAAATTACCTTTAATAAAATAAAAATAATTAATTGAAGGATTTTGGTTATTTAGTTAATACTACGTGAACAGACTGAATATTTTAAATCAAACATGTTATATTATATTATAAAACATGCAAGAGAGATGTAAGAGAGATCATTACGGCGATAAGAACACCACGAGTAATTATTTTTGAATTTATTAAGTAGCCAATAGCAATTTAGGCCACACAAAAAAAAAAAAAGGCAAGCATGACTGTTCTCTTTAAGAAAGGTTTGCCAATGAACACGGGAATTTAGGTGTCCTTGTCATTTGTATCTTATTTATGACATATTTATCTTTCTCAAATACATTATATTTAAATATTTTATGAATATTCCAAAAGTTTGACTTCTCATACAGAGTTGACTTAGAATAACAGCTTGTGGAGAGGTTGGACATTAATTGCAAAAATACAATAATTTATATATATAGCTCAGGCATTATGAAAGCAAAATAAAAAAGGAT